TAGATTTTTTTTTTTACACTAGTATGAACAGAACTGAGTCCACATGATGGGAAGAAACAAAACAATTAAACATGAAAGGCAAGCCTGTGTAAACAGCCCTAACAAACCTGGGGAAGTTTTTTGAGACAAGGTTTTTCTGTGTAACTGTACTGGCTGCCCTGGAACTTCCTTTGTAAACCAGCTGGCCTTGAACGCAGAGATACACCTATCTCTGACTCCTGAGTACTGGAATTAAAGGCCTGGACCTCCAACTTTAATGGCGGCTTAGTGCTAAACAACTGACTACTCTTTGCTTTATAAGGACACTCACTGGCTAAGGTCCTGGGTGAGACAGGAGATTATATTATGTTGAGCTGGATCCTGAAGCAGGGAGGAGAGTTGTTCTCCAAGAGGTGCATGCAATTGCCGACTGATGAGTCATGCAGCTTACAAGACTTTGTGCTCCCAAATCTTATGGCTAGGGCATTCCAGGACTGTGCCTTCGCCTCATTCCTTTGTGTTTGTTTATTTAGAGTCTGATGTGTTCATTAAACTGCTCAGTGACTCTACTAACTGGCCTTGAACTTCTAGTCTTCTTGCCTCACCTTTGAAGTGCAGACATCACAGGGTTGAATCATCACCATGATGGACTTCCTTTGTGCTTTATGCAAGGTTCTTTCTTTTTAAATACATTATTTTTAATTTTTTGAGGTTATAGTTACGTAGTTTCCCTCCTTCCCTTTCTTCCCTCCAACTCCTCCCATATGTCTTCACCTTGCTCTCTTTCAGGGCCTCCTTTTTTTAAATTGTTGTTGTTATTGTTGCTAGTGTGTGCGTATGTGTGCATATGTATTTGTATGTATTCTTAATTATATAAATACAACTGTCTCTACCTGTGTGAAGTTACTGACATGCTTTCAGACATGTCCATTTGATATTAGCTAACCTATCCATGCACTCTTCCCTGAGGAAGACTGTTTCTTCTTCTTTCAGCCTTCCATAGTTGCCTGCAGTTCTTTGTCTAGAGTTGAGGCCATGTGAGCCTTCTACCTTCCCTGATAGCATGGCTATGGCTGCTGAAGTCTTCCTGGTTTCTGCAATGAGCTCACAGTGAGCTAGGAAGATGACTCAGTTGGTAAAGAGTTTGCTGCACAAATTTGAGAACTGGAGTTCACATCCTCATCACCTGCGTGTGCTGTTGCTTGTGCCAGTAAGCCCAGGTCTTGACAAATCCATGAGCTCTCTTAGTAAGAGAATTTGTCTAAAGAGTAGGGCAAAGAACAACCAGAGAAGATACCTCATGCTATCTTTGGCTTCCACACACACAAGTATGTATATATTTATATACCACTGCAGACATGTGCATATGTGCACATGTGTGTGTGTGTGCGCACGCGCGCGCGCACACACACACACACACACACACACACATACAGGAGGTGGGTAACGTTAGAGAAAGACTGGAGAAAGGTAGGAGGGCAAGAGTGCAGGTACATTACGACCTTTATTTCCATGAACACAGAGAATGGCTAAGACTGCCTCAGAACATATGGGGGGAGGAGTTGAAGGAAGATTTAATTCCTGAAAAGCACGGTTGGATGACACCATTTGCAACATTGTAAATACCACCACCATCTTCAGTGTCGTCCCCAAATGGCACATGTCACTTTGAAAAGAGAAGTTGTTTTGTTTTGTTTCTTGGATTTTCAACTCTTTTCTCTAGTAAGCACTTCATGGGAGGAAAGGCTGGTAGTTTGCCAACTGGATTAATCAGATAAACCTACAAACAATTGACAATATCTCTGGAAGCTTCTATTGGGATTAGGTCACACTACTTTCCTACTCCTCATCTTGTAAGACATGAGAAATTGCTAAATGGTGCCCCTGACAACAAAACCAGAAGCCTGTTTTGTAAAATATCTTACATGTCCCTGTGGCCCATGGAAAGTAAATATTTGAAATTAATGTGTTTATTGATAGTACAGAGTTTTACCAAAAAGGGCTTCTCTATTTCCAAATTTAAAATTCAATAATGTATGCAGAAATACAGTCAATGATAGAGATGGCTTCTCTCCCTAATGCTGAACATAGGAGCTGAATTCACTGAGATCTTGTGGCATTGTGTAGGTAGAGCTAAACTGTAACAAAAACCACCATTTAAACCCTGTCTCTTTAGAGTCAAACCACCCAACTGTTAAACAAAAGATTAATTCAATCAGGCAATCCCTTTACATAGCTTTCAGCCACAGAGTTCAGTTGAATTTGATGTATCTCAACTCAGGTAGTTTACTACAATATAATCAAGTCTTTGAGTAATAGAGAAAAGTTTTTGATCTAGATTTTTTTTTACATTGGAGATATGAGTGAAAAATAAACAGGCAAAGAAAGCATCACATTTGTCTTTTGCAGAATAACAATCTTTTTTTTTTAATTTTCTTTAAAAAAATTGTAGCCCTCTAAGCTATGTCATTTGATTTTAGTAACTCGGTAAGAAGGTGCTGGTCCAGATAAGTATTTATTAAAATGTAAATTATACTTGCCTAAAAGAAAAAAATCAGAGAGAAATATTAAAATAAAAGTCCTTAGGTTATAGGACATGCAGATTTGAACCTTATGAAGAATTAAGACTTTCTTAGAAAAGGGTGAGGCCAGAATATAGGTCTCTGAGTTTAGAACACATTGGCCTCATTCACAGCCGTGATCCCACTCTCCGGGGCCACTCCCCGCGTTCGCGTTCGAGAATGCATCTCATTTGGTTTCATCAACAACCATACACGTAGAAGCACCCATTTTATTGATGAGAAAACTGGGGCTTAGGAAAACTGATTAGGTCATGATTGCTTTTACTTCTTGTATTCTATTTCAGAATTATTTCATTATTTTGGGAGTAAGGGTGAGCCTGCTACATATTGAATGACCCCTTTCTCATCCCCTAGGTCTCCTATGTTCACTTTGCTTCAAACTTTCCCTGTAGAGCAGTGGTTTTCAACCTGTGAGTCCTGACACCATCAGGGTCAAATGACGCTTTCACAGAGGTAGCCCAAGACCATCAGAAAAGACAGATATTTGCATTATGGATCCACAACAGTAGCAAAATTACGGATATGAGGTAGCAGTGAAAATATTTTTATGGCTGGGGAACTCCACAACATGACAAACTGCACTGAAGGGCTGGCCACAGCATTAGGAAGGTTGAACACCACTGATAAGGAAGATCTTACTTACGCAAACATATTGCCACCCATCTCTCAGCCTTCCAATTGTCCTTATCCAGAGTTGTCAACTTCTCAGCTCTACACACTCTACACGGCTCCCACATGCTCACCACTAGCATCCTTTGAAAATATTGTGAACATGTAACTTAATTAGCAATCTAAAGTACATTATTCATGCTGATAGGTGCTAATGACTGTAATCAAAAGAATGGACATTAGGCCAGACAAACAAGCTCTAAAATATATATATGTATGTATGTATATGTGTGTGAGTATAAGGAACAAATTTTCTAACTGACCTACCTTGCTGCTGATACTAACTAATGTTTGGTTTCCAGTTAATATGTGCATATTCTTGATTGTCTTATTGCATTGTTAATATTTGTCTTTGCAGGTGGCCAATATCTCTCTCTCCATTTCCATGAATCAAGCTTTGGGTAATGTCCACCTACATCTTGCATTAGGTAGCACCACTGGCTTAGCCACAGAAGCAAAGACTTGGTAGTCGTTCCTCACGTGCTCCCTCTGTCTTCATAATAAATGCCACATGAATGGAGTGTCATGCATCATTTAAACTGCTGCATGCATTCTCTTCAGCCACAGCCCACCTTTTATTGCCAACATCTCCACTTTTATGAGTTGGCCCTGTTGTGTGCATGTATACGTGTGTGTATATTTATTCAGTCACAGTTCACAACATACTAGGTAGCCTAGAGTTTAAGAAGTAACAGTATGCCTGATCCACATACAGGGTTTTAAGAGCACACTCAGTTTTCTACCCATATAAATGCAATTCACTAGTTTTCCTGCAGGAAATGAAAAGACAATGCAGATGACTTGAAAGAACCGGTATTGTTGATTTCATAATTTCTCTTTTCATTATGAGAACAAATATCTACTACCTATTTATTACATGCAAGAGAGAAGGAGGAAGAACTGAGAGCTAGGCTCGTGTGTATCTCAGGACTACTGTGCCGACACGAACAGATGAGTATATGTCATAGAGCCTCTTATTTTTACATTTTCTGATGAATGAGGTGCTTTCCTCACTAATAAAACCATCATTCCACTGTAATCACATGTGCACTTAGGTTACCTGAAAGCATAAAAGAATTCCAGTTACAGTAAGCTAGAAACTTATATTAAAAAATTGTTTTTAACTGATTCAGCTTGATGTTGATCATCCCTTTGAAATATTTTTTTTCCCGAGGAAAATATATTTTTCCAGTTTCTGCATAACTTGGAGAGAGAAAAGGATTAGAGAATCATCTTCCATTAACACCAACCAAATAAAGCTGGTTACCTGTTTTGGAGGTTCTTTTTTTTTTTTTTTGTAGGATTAGTTATGAGAAACTGCACACTGCAAGAAAAGTTTCATTATTTTGAGTCACTGATATATTCTCAAGTCTCCTGATAACTGTGAAGTCAAATTCCTGAAATTGCCTTTCTTCGTCATGCGATAGAATTTTTCCCTACAGAGGCCAGAAGTTTTCTCAATGTTCAGTTAATATTTTCTGAGAGGCACAGGAGTTTTAAACCAAGGCTTCTGGGGTTCTGTCTACAATCCCCTACACCCTAACAGGGAACTGCTTCCTGCTACAGGGCTAGCAAATCCCTCCATTTATTTTTAGATCTTCAGTGGATCCAGAGGTGTGTTTAATATGCAAAGCAGAAGCTAACACTGGGAAACATTTGCATGATTGTGTTTTGGGTTTGCCGTCAGCTAAGTAGGACAAAATTGATCTCATCTTACAAAATCTCTATTCCACACTTCCCCTCTTAACTTGCAAGTTCAGCTTTGCTTACCTGCTTCCTGGAAGACACAGTGCTGTTGAAACATCTGTTAGTGGCATTCAAATTCAAATTCTTGTTCTGATGGGTTGACTCATTTTTCCACATTTTAGAGTTTTCTTTAGGGTCAGACGGAATGGGGTTTAAGAAGAGGATTCTCGCTATAAATCCATAGAGCACAGTGGCCAGGATCATTGGTACCACGTAAAAGACACCAAAGTCCATTAGGTAAATAGGTGAATAGTAATTCCTGGAGATCTTGTAGCCACAGGATACCACAATGGCACCTTTGTAGGTGCTAATATTGAGATCCAGCAGGAAGAACCAGAGCATGCAATAAATGGATGTGAAGGCCCAGACAAATATTATAATCTTTTTAGCTCTGGAAAATGTGCAGAGAAACTGGGCTTTGATGGGGTGGCAGATTGCTATGTACCTCTCAATGGTAAAGGCAGTTATGGAACATGAGGATGCGTTAATCCCTAAATACTGGAGATAGGTAATGCAGAGGCAACCAGCATAGCCATAGACCCAGGAACCGTAGATGCTGTCGGTTATGTTGGGGAGGCCTGCAGCTATCAGGACCATGAGATCGGCCACAGCCAGACTCACCAGGTAGCAATTTGTAGGGGTTCTCATGTGCTTGGTTCTCATGACCACCAGGACGACCATGATGTTGCCCACGATGCCCAGTCCGCAAATAATGAGCACAAGTAAGATAGTGACCACCTGGTACTCGAGCGCCACCGCTGCCTGGGGCTGAAGCTCGGTTTGGTTCAGTTCACTGACCGTTTCATTCTCCATCTTCCGTGGCTTGAAGTTTCTCTCACACACAGACTCTTTAGAACATCTCTCTACGCTTCACCTTTATTGAAGTACTTCTTCCTCCTGGGAAAAGTCACACACATGTTCACTCACAATGCCACAATGGCCAAGCAAGCCACACTCACAGGCAACTCATTTCCTCTCTCTGCATCTGAGTTTCTACAGTAACGGGGCTCCTATGCACTTCTGAAAACTCCTTATTTTGCAATTCTACGCAGAATGTAGCAACTGTTTTGACCACATCATGCTAAGAGGACCAGGTAACTCTCTCTTCACAGAGAAAAATGCTGAAGAGAAGAGAGGCAGAAAAGAGTCCTCTTTTGAAACCGGGTCCGCTTGGAAGAACAGAAAACAATAAGCAAACAGTTCCAAACTTAAAAAGAAAATGTGCTAGTTGCAAAATAAATACAAAGAAACCTCTCAGATGCTCGGGGAAAGTACAGTGAAGAAGAAAAAGGTACCAGTGGGAAAGCCAAAAGCCTCAGTGGTCAAGCCTGGTAGGAATTTAGCTACTGCCTCTGGCTCTCAGGAGTGAAACACCATTGGTATAAAATAGCAAAAACCCTTTGCACCTAAGTTCCCCATTTCCCCCAGCCCCCTGCCTCAAAAGAAGACAGTTTCTTCTCTTACCTTTCCACTCTGTCTCGCTGCTTGCTTCTCAGGGCAGACGAAGGGGAAATAGGGTCCAAGTTTCCAGTCCTGGAGAAAATCTTGTCTAGTCTGTCTGGCAGGGAAATCACTTAGCAGAGGCTCAGTCTTTGGAGCAGCCGTTTCTCCAAACCCTTTTCAACTCATGACAGACCCTACAGCTGCAGTAACAGAAGCAGCAGCAGGCGCAGCAGTGAGGTTGTCAAATCATAGATCGTCCCTTAATGAGAGCGCTCTCTCTCTCTCTCTCTCTCTCTCTCCCTCTCTCTCTCCTCTCTCTCTCTCTCTCTCTCACACACACACACACGCATTCCCAGCTGCCCGTCAGATCTGACTGATTCATAATCCGTTGAAGACTGTACTCTTAAACATGTGGCTCATAGTGTTCAGTGTGGCAGACTGCTCACAGGTAAAAGAGCGAGAAAAGCTGATCTTGTACATAATGGCGCTCGAAGTTCTGCAGAAACTCCTGTGCCTGAGCTGCTCTGAAATGCATTTTTACTTCTTTCTTGACAGTGTTTTAGCAGGTAGCAAACCTTCTGGGCAGAGCCCTTGGAGCCTGCGGTAACTGCAATGAGATCAACTTCTCTCAGTGCTGTGGAAAGCCTCAGACTGATTCTTCAGTAAATCAGTAAAAGGCGCTCTCTCTCCTTTTGTATTATATGAGTGAAAAATAAGTTAAAATTGATTTTAAAACATTTTAACTACGAGCTTCTGAGGCTCACATAAAAGCATTAGTTTTCATAAAGGACTTGCAGATTAGAAGTGGTGGTGCACACTGGCGATCTCAGTGGACGGTGGTGTGAAGCCAGTTTGGGCTGTATATCAAGAACTTGCCTCATGAATAAAAAAAAACAAACAAACAAATAAGTAAATAAACAAAATTAACAACCAGAATATTTCAATCTAAAGCCACCTGTGGAAACTTGCGAGGCTCGGGAGTCCTCTACTTCATGTAAATTTGCGCTTGTGTTGCTGTCTGAAATGCCAACCACGGGAGCTACCCGTGAAAGCTTTATCTAAATACGTTCCTACGAGGGAGAATTATGCAGTGAAATTCTAGCCCAGGGTCATTCCCACTCTCTAAAGCCTTCTATGGCCAGTCTATGACAGGGCTTTTCTCTGGACACAGACTGAATGCACCAACTGTTAACGTTTGTGTGCTTTTAACTGACTGTCTTACCATGAAAAACAACCGTTAGTTGGACTCCCAGCCTGAGGCACCAAGTATCTGTTTTAATAGATCAGATCCTCAGGGAGTCTATTTTAAGTGGACAAGACCAAAAGGGCATCCGAACTATGTCCAATGCCAGTAACAGTGAGACTGAGCCACAACTGTGGTTCATAGCGAACAACCTCTCCTTTGACTCCTGGCAGGAAGCCCTTGGTACCCATTTCTTTTACCCAATCATCACTCCTTACAGAGCAGCATCCCAGAAGGCACATTTAGGCTTCAGGCGTGTATTGTTTGGCCTACACAGGACCAGCTCAAGTGTGATTTTAAAAAATTGGCTTATTTTTACCTTTCAAAATTTAGAAATTACATATTAAAATCAGGACATTTTCTCATAAAAATTTAAAGGGTCTGGTCCTGATGGGCTTACAGTCCCACCTGGAAGTTAATGGAGGACAAGCAGTGACTGATAGTCAGAGTCCTTGATGTAGGATGCCATCTCTCCCATGTTCTACATGCCACACAATCTTCCACCTGTCTTTTACACAAGTCAGCTTTGTTCTCCCATAATCATACATGTATGGTCCCTGTCAACGTTTAAGTTTTGGCCTCTAAATTATCCCCAAATTCTGAGTGGCAAGGAGGACCCCATTCCAGTGTGTGTTCTCTCACCCCGGGTCCATCCTTGCCTGAATTTTAGTTTGTTCTGCCCACTGGTTTGGCTGAGGGATGCTTTCTCCCTGGCCTACAGGGCAGAGATGACTCTGAACCATTCCTCTCTTGGCTGCTCATCAGTGTGAACATCCTTTTGAGGGAGACATTATCTTCCTCCTCGGTCCTAACTTCCCTACTTCAAATTAAAGCCTTACTTCCTAAGCTAACCTTCCCTCCTCATTCTCCCGTGGCCTTTAATTAGCTCTCAGTTGGTATGGGATGTCTCCCATGCTGGATGTCTTTACAATACAGCGAGCAATTGCGGGCTAGGAAGTCAGTTCTTTCAGCTCCAGCTCCATGTCAAGTCTTTCCCGAGGGCATCCCTCAGCATCTCTACTCTGAATAAATACTCTGCACCTCATTTTGCGTCCCCTCCCAACAGATAACTGTTAAGTTCGTACTATGTGCTGTGTGGTTAGTAAGTAAACATCACATTTTCAAATAGCTCACAGTTAATGGGAGAAACAGGCTTAGAAAAGTTACATGATTTGTGCATTGAAAATGAACATTCAGTGGGTTGATCATGAGTGGCCGTGCAGTGGACAGAGAAACCAGGTTGGGTTCTCCCATACAAGGGAGCATCTGAAAAGTTTTGAAGAAAAGCACAGCTTCCTTTAGAAGAGGGAACAAAAGATGACATCGGGATTAATGATGATGAGACAGGCAAGGCTGTGTAAAGTGACAAGGATTTCATGGGGTCGGAAAAGATGAGACCGCCTCCTTGACCTGGAGGAGTTGGAACTGCGATGAGATAGACATTGGGTGGCTGCCAGATTGGGTGTTTAAGGAGGGTTCTCCCTGGGCTGGGGCTCACATTATCCCCTTCCACTTGCTCTTTACAGTCTGGAAAAAGTCCTTCACATACCCACTTTCACCTCCAAACTTATCAGATCATTATGTTCCTACATGTTTTCTATCAACTTCATGCCCCCTACAACATTGTGTTTTTGAAGAAACTGTTATTTCGTAAAGTAGATTTTTGCTTATAAACCTTAATGGGCTAATATATAACATATTTTTTATTTGCAACAAATAACACAAAATAAGGCAAAATGTTAGCAAACCTTATATTTGCATTAATTAATTAATTAGATTTCTTAATCATAATGTCTTAATTTCTAGTCAGTAAGTGCTCCATCATAAGGACAATGAGCAGATGGAGCCATGGTGACACGCACACATCTCAAGTCCACGAGCTGGCTGTTTTTTTCTGACCCTCTGCCATTTAGGCAAAGCTTCTCAACCCTGTGACACATTTCTCATAAGAAAAACCAGCACCACAGTTCATAGGGTACCTCATACGAGTGTCTCAGTTCCTAGCTGGGGCTTGTTCATTGCTTTTCTAATCTTGCCTTACACTTTCAGTTTGAACTTGAGAAATTCGCGAGCCCCATCATATTCTCCGTTAGATGACTTGCTCATGATAATTTGGTTTTCTCTTTCCTAATTGCTCCAAGAAAGTTTACATTCATACAACCAAACTCTTTCCGTAGGACATGCATGGCTGTTAAGTTGCCAAAACCACAGGAGAAATTCATAAGAGAGTTATCTCCATGTTTAAAGGGGAGCTTTTCTAGTAGCTAGGTGGTTCTTCACCAGTCATCTCAAATCCACTAACAGTTAACAATTTATGCTGTCCACATTTCTCATTTGAGGCTGCTGGAGGCCATGGGAGATGTCATCAAATTGTCATAGGTAACTTGACAAGATTTAGAAAAGTGACCAGTTCAGAAAGCAATGAAAGAGAGAGAGAGCGCGAGAGAGCGCAGTGGGTATTCACTGTGCTCATGACCTTGGGTTGACCCAATAGTGGCAGTTCTTCTGGTTTGACCCCTTTAAAAAAAAGAGGGGTGCAGTCATTCTCTCTCGAGGGGTGGTCGGGTATCAGACTGCAGGTGCCATTAACCCTGGGGAAGAACGAAGGACCACAGGGGCAATCTAGCTTGTTGTGTATCTGTGAATGTATCATAATAAATCCATATTATCCCTTTTAACAGGCGCTTGAGGATTAGCCTACAAGACACTTGGGGAAATTTTATGAAATGCAAGTTTTTGGGCTCTAAAAATGAGAAATATGATCTATTAAATTAGGATTCAGACACTATATTAGTTAGGGTTTCTATTGCTGTGAAGAGACATCATGACCATGGCAACTCTTACAAAGGAAAACATTCAATTGGAGTGCTGGCTTACAGTTTCAGAGGTTCAGTCCATTGTCATCATGGTAGGCCATGGTGGCATGCAGGCAGACATGGAACTGGACGGTAGTTGAGAGTTCTACATCTTGTAGGCAACAGGAAATGAACTGAGACACTGGGTGCGGCTTAGGCAAATATGAGATCTCAAAACCCACCCCTCATGGTGACATACTTCCTCCAACGAGGCCACACCCACTTCAACAATGTCATACCTCCTAATAGTGCCCCTCCTTTGGTGATCATTTTCTTCCAAACTACCACAGGCACTTTACCAAGATTCTGGTCCGTGGGTCTGAGATGGGAGGCCTTGTGGTCTGGGGGTAGG